ATAAAAAAATGAAAATCAATCTTTTGTTCAAAATATGTATTCTCTAGGTAATATATATGTATTCTCTTTCTTACTAATATGAAAGTTCTTTTTGAGCAAAGTAAAAATTACTATGTCGAATAGCAAATTTCACTATAATCTGGTCCTACAATGTAGCATAGTCATTTTTATAATATGTTGAGTATGTCTTAGTTTTCCTATGAAATAGAGTAATTTTTATTATAGTCGCAAAACTTTTTCTAACACCACTTTTCTCAGTGTAGACAGTTGCTCTACAACTTGAGCGACCAAGAAGCCGTACATTCACTCGCACCGTAAGCTTCGGACAGTTTCTCTTTCTTAGTTCTTAAAGCTGTCTCACACTTAAGCTCGATATAGCAGGTATATAAAGAATGATAAAGATGTATCAGTATTTGCTCGAATACTTATTGGTCGTATTAAATTTCTAGTTTATCTACAAGCATTAGAGGTCGTATATCTGCTATATTGAGCTTAGGTGAAAGACAGCGTTAAAAATTGAGAAGGGGAAACTTATCTAGACTCACGGTGCGAGTAAATGTATGGCTCCTTAGAGTCTTAAATGGTAGAGCAACCGTCGAGTAAAGAGAAAGTTGTGTATTCGGTTTACACTCGAAAAGAATATTTTTCTCATTTATTTTTTTCTTAAAATAATTTTTTCGAGAAAAAAGTTATGTGGCTTAGTTAGTATCATAAATCATCAGTATATTGAATATTAAAAAAATTCATGTGTACGGGATATAGAGTGCTTATATATAATTAATCCCGCCAGCTTTACATATGCGCCTCTTGATACAATGTTAAAGATATATCAATATTTGTTTGTTGATCTATTAGTCGTATTTAATTTCTAGTTTACCTACAAGCATTAGAGTAATTTACATGCTATATCAAGATTAGGTGAAAGACAGCTTTAAAAATTAGGAACGAGAAACTCATTTAAATTTATGGTGCGGGTAAATGTACAGCTCTTCGGTAACATAAGTAGTACAGCAACTGGCTTGTAAATAGAAGGTTGTATATTTTATCTGCACCCAGGAAGGATATCTTTCTCATTATTATTAGCTTCTGAAGAAAATTTCTTAAAAAAGAAGTTATGTAGTTTAGTATTATGAATCTTTAGTATACTGAATATTGAGAAAGGGTGTGTACAAGTATTGAAATTATTTACCTATTCAATTCATAATACTATTTAGAAGTGTTTGTGCATTTGAATTCCAGTGTTCCACATGTATTGACAGTTTCCTTGTTTCAAACTTATTATACATGATTAAATTTGTCAAATAGTGACCCCACGAACACAGGGTTAGAACACAATCGCATGTCAGAATATTGCGTTAAAGAAAGTTTCTCCACTGCAACCACTTTGTTCGTATTTTACAATAGCGTTGATGGTATCGTTAATACGTAGATAAATAGAGGTGCTATGTAAATGAAACAGTTTAAGAAAGTGATGGAATTTGGTACTTAAAATTAGAGAATGGTTGGATTATTGACAATTTTTAAATAAAAACGGTGTTTTTTTTCAAATTTATCTAGTAGCATAGCAAAGAACCGATTTAATTATACAAAAAGACGCTGAACGCTTTGATTTGATGTTAAAATCTGTGTTTCAAGGTTAGAAAAACCTAGTGGACAGTGGGTACTTGGGTACCTAAGTAAAAATTTATAGTTTTATCAAATTATGTGGCAGATAATATAATTATAAATTTAAATATACCTTCTATAAAACAATATTCTGCACAAAGTTGCTGTAATTATCGTTGAAATAAGTTTACTTACGTTAGTTGGGTGTGGTTCCAGAAAATATTTTAATATTTAATAACTGAAATATGATAAACAATGTATCATGGAAAAATGCAATACATACAATATGAAGATTGGCCAGTGGAAGACTGTGCACTTTCATCGAATCTTCCGACGGTTTCACAACAACTTCCTACTGCCTACGCTGATTATATCTAGAGCGTCACGCTCACATTTATTACATACAATCACACACGTGTTCCTAGTTTATATTTAATATCAAAAACATTACTGTATCTTAAGAATTAAGACTAACTATCCTGTAGTGCCACTACATTCGATTGTATAGTAGTACATGCTAGTGAATGTCCTTTCAGAAAGTTCATCACCCATACGTTTTTTTGATAGATATTATTCAAGCATCAAAAGTATACTAAAATTTTTATGAAAAATACCCTTAAAAAATAGCAGATTGCTTAACTGTATCCTTTTTCAGATTTTTACTTTTAAAAATTTGCACTTTAGCATTTAATCTTATAAAAAAATCCCATAAATTTGCATAGATAAGATCTATGTAAGCCCCCCAATTTTTGTTTGTAAGAAGTATTACTTTTAGGTATACCTGTTTTATTTTTAAACAGATCGATAACTTTTTTTTTTTTTAATACTATTTAAAAACACAAAAAAAAAGTTTTCCAGGATGCGTAAAAGAGTGTAAGTTTATCCATATGAGAAAAATAATTTCCAGCGTTGCTGCGAATCTGTGCGCTCCTTCCACTTCTCTGAGTTTTGTTCTCAATTACAAAAGAAAAATTGTGATAGTAGTAAACGCAATAAAAATAAATTATTTTATTCATATAGTACGGAAACTTCTTTTTTTATGATGAAAATTCTGAAAAAATGTAAAAATGTATAAACAATAATTTATTCATTTAAAAAGTAATAAGTTAATGATAAATAAATAAATGTTTATTAATTTACATGAAAGCTACTCTACTTATATATATACTTATTTCTAAATTTTTGTAAAAAAACATGTACCAAAAAAATGTATTTTATTAAATTACTTATTTATATAATGTAAAATGAATAAATACATAATTAATAAAAATTTACATTGAAAATGAAATACGAACTGTAAGATACAATTAAGTAATCGGTTTTCCATTATGAGGCCCACTCATGGATGTGTAGGTAAGGGGCTGCCCAGTGTGCAAGAGATCAGGGGCTCACATCCTTTTAGGAACTGTTTTTTTTTTTTTTTTTTTTTTTTTTTTTTTTCGAAACTGGTTAAAAGAAAAAAATTATCAAACTTTAAAATATATGGTGTGGTATAGTGCGATGATGTTGTGTGATGCGATGATATTGGCTGGTGTAGAAGGACTGGAAGTACGCCAAGAAAGGTGGGGTAAAGAAGAAGAATCAAGCAAAATCCACTTTCGTTACACTTTTTCTCAAGGCCACCAATCTGAAATCGTTGATTTACTTGGTAGAACAGAACGCGTCTACGGAAGTGTAATTCTAAATAGTTGGCCCACTTTTTCTTAACCAAGTGCGTAATGAAGCCCCTATTTACCTGCATGTCAGCAGTGGATTCTCACTGCTCATGTGCAATACGTTTACTTTGTTTGACGCACTCTTACATGTCCTAGCTTCTTTGCCAGATCCCAGACTTTAGTATTTTTTTTGTTCTAAGAAAAATATTGATGTTATTTCTTTTATTTTTTTTTTACTAACTAGACCTTGAGACCCCTTTTATTATATCCAAGCAGTTGAATTCAGCATGGCCCAAAAAAAACTCGATAAAAATGATGTTTCATTGGTAAACCTTGTAAAAGCCATATGATTTTATTTCCAGAATGGATATCCACATACATATGTAAGTAGGCATGAATTCTTAAAAAAAAATAATCTAATTATTTACAACTGTTTACTTAGAACATTTTGCATTATTTTATTACAACCACATGTTTGGTTGTCTTTTATAAAACTTTACTTATATTACATTGCACTTAATATATTTAGCACGCTTGGTTCTATAACAGTTTATAAATGTAAGTTTCAACTTAATAGTGATTGGTAAATCCATACGTGTGTATATTAAAAATTCAAATAAAACTGCTATAACTGTATAAATGTAAAAGTAACAATTTGTGAGTATAAAATAACACTCTAAGTAAGCTTATGATTACATTTCTCAGAAGGGTGAGGTCTAGATTAAAAAATTGTGTGATACTGAGTAAGAATTTTGAGTATAAAACAAGTCTCACAACTCATGAGAGCTTACGACCAATCAGAAAAAAATTAAGTTCTGCAGACAGATCATTTATGCAACAGTATTCTTTGGACTGTTTAATTTAATGAGTATTTCACTTCATATAAGATATCTCTCAATACGTCTTTGTTATTCAGCAACAGCTTCTACGGTCTTAATTTTTTCTAGTAATTTTTTTATTGTGATGCATTTGTATTACCGTTACCTCTTGCTGTAGAGTTAATATTTTATGTAGTCTTCTAGTACAAAAATCCAATATTTGTGATGATACTACTTGTAAGACCAATTTTCAACTTTATTATGTATGGGGGTTGCTTGATCACAATATTTTTCTTTTTTTTTTTTTTTTGGCTCAATTATAAAAATTACTGTAGTAATATTTTAAAAAGATACATTCTTTATCTTATGTCGATTAACAGTTAGATAGGTTTTCCGACATAATTGAATATAACAAAACCACTCTATTTGCCTTATTTCTTAAAAGAGGACAGCAAGTCAACAGTTTATCAAGGTGACATTTTTATATTAAAATTATGGCTCATCTATTTTAACTTGAAAAATATTATTGGTTAACTAAGTTTGAACCTTTTAAAATTAAACTTTTAATAAGGATTATATAAGAAGTTATTCGCAGAGCCAGACAATATCTTTTGGCCTTATTTAACGTTATTAATTTTCTCGGTAAACATTATTTCAGAGAATAAAAATATTCGTAATCTACGTATTTACAATACTTACAGTCAGTTCAACTAAGGCCCATATTATTTTCTGGTTCTTAAGGCATGTGATCAGCTACCATTTAAAAAATAACTTTAAAGAATATTATTAACTGTTAAATTTTCGAATGCAATTTAATTTTCGCTTTGATGATTAGTAATGAGTCGTTTTATGACTAAATTTTTATTGTTAAAAGGATTAATAAATAATTTTTGGAAAAATTTAGATGTTTAAATTTACTTACAAGTCGAATATCGTTAACTCCGTAAAGAACAGCTGTCAGATTATCTAGTGCCATTGATGATCACGAAAATGTAGTAGTCAATTAAATTGATGTAGAAAGATCTTTGAAAAGACGAAGTAATATGCATAAAGTTATATAGGTGACTTCAGTGGGATGTCTTAGGCATGAATGATAACATTTCTCTATCACCAGTTGCGTAACTTGCTGAGCAGCAACTTTATTAAAGTGTACAAATAAACTCATGCCTTTTAAGACCAATAACATTTTTCTTAATATTAAAAGAAGTTACAGATAATTTTTTAAAACAGTAATATGAAAACTGTAATTGATATTGTGTTAATGGTATACCCTACACTTCTAATATATGTGTGATTTCTCTATCTTTTAAGAAAATGCATAAAAAGGCTTAAAAATGGATTTTTGTAAGCTATTTATAATAATTTGTTTTGTGATTACTTCCAAACTGCAACAAGTCAAATATTTTGCCCTAGAAGCTTTTTTTTCATCTTTACGTTTTTATTACAATACAGAAATGAAAGTAACAATAAATTTATTTTAAGGCATACAAAAAAACTAAAGCATACTAACTACTGACTTGTAAAATAAAAAAGCACGTAGTTCATAAAAATCACAGTATTTTAAAATAATTTAATGTAGCAATCGAGATGTATGTATACTGCTTTAAATTTTATATTACACCATGCTTTTCAAACCTTTTCTACTTAAACTATCTTCTAATAATTAAAAATTCTCTGTCACAATTAAATGTATTACATGTATAAGACATAAATTCTTATTCTTGATATTATTAATAAATTTAAATAAAGCTTTTATGGCTGTAACAAAAAATTACAAGTGTTAGTGCTATTTTTTTAAAACTTCCACAGTTAAAAAAAAAGTACTTGTGCAAAATGCTTAAGAATTGAAAATAAGTACGTAATTAGGTCTACACGCATGATTTGAGGCATCTTTTTCTATTGTAAAAAGATATCCGTGGTTATTATATTTTACGAAACCATGTAAACAAACTAAAACCAATCGAGAAGCAACCAGTATACATTCAATTACGTACATGAATTTTGACGCCACTGAACTCAAAAACTTCTAATTGATTAATGTAAGGACATTGTAATACTTCTGTAGACCACGCTAAAAATACTAATCACTAACCTTGTAACACAGATTAGAAGGTAGATTGCTGACTGCCATGCTACGGAGTGTGCCCACTTTTTTCCAGTGGTTCGAGCGCCCCACCGTGGCCAAGCGGCCGAACCAGGCGCACATTCTTATTTTATTTGAAAAGCACGGTAGGGGTATGAGAAGAGTGGATTCGCGTGGAAATGTTCATATAGGCGCACATTTTGGAGACGCGTGGAAGCGTGGAAGGGGTATACCGAATGTGCGCTTACGAGGAGAGGAGTGGAAATGTCGGCTATATAGCTGTATATCCATCTCTGAACGCACAGTCAAAGCAAGCGACGATACGAGTTTTTCTTTTTTAAGAGTCTTTTGACTCTGCAACCAAGTACTATGTATATATTTAACTGACTTGCTCTCGCTCTGGCTTCAATGTTATGAATAAATCTTATTTAATTAAATCGTGGAACTAAATGCTCATTAATTATATACACAGAATTTTGATTTCAATACATTATGTTTTAACTCTCCCGTACTCTTAAAATTCCCAAATCCATTTATGTTTTCAAAAAATTAACCATTAATTTATTAATTTCACACATCCTAACTTCTGTAAACTGTAGGACAAGCTCCGGAGGATATCCATGAACATATGTGACTTCGAAAGAGGTACTTCTCGTCCTTCGGATAGCTAAGATGATTAAGGCTTATGCCCCTTCAGAGATTGTTTTGCACTCAAGGGTTCAAATCCACTTCATGGTAGATATTTTTTTTTTTTTTTTTATTCAATGTATCATTTTGTCTTTATTTCTTTTATTTATGTTTCGTTAATATATATATACATATATATGTAGTCAACATTTTTTTTCGGATAGATAAAAAAAAATTAAATTAATATTGTTACTTTGATACAAGGCAATTCTATAATTTTATGATACTAAAATAACTTTTAAGGATTTTAACATAATTTGTGTATTTTAAAACTCCTAAGAAATTGTGAACATCCTATTTACGACAAAAAAAAGCCGAAGGCAGAAGAAAACTCATTCTTTCACTAAGATTATATCAAATATGATCATTACCAGTAAAGTTCAACTTACATCCAATTATACGTGAATATTTAACTACGTACATATATTATATTTTTGAGCTTATATTTACATCCTTTATCAATACCTTGTGGTTATTGCATTGACAAAATTCGTACTACATATATATATATATATATATGTACAAACATAAAAGTAGATTCTTTAGTCTTTATAAATAGTGCGTATTACGAAGCTTTTTTTATTCAACACATACTAGTTTCAACCACTTGTAACTCAGAGTATGGTTTAAAAAAAAAATTTGTATTCTGTGTAAACAATTAATCTTTTTACCTATAATCAATTGTTATTGTAATTTTTCAGAAATAGTTACCAAAATTTTTGACAGTGCGTAAATCATAAACAGTTAACAAAAATTTTTTTTCCTCTGTTTTGAAGGTGGCACTATATATATTTTTATAGATGAATAACTTTACAAAATATTAAAATTTCACAATTGAAATTGCTCTTTTAACTATCGCAATCGATCAATTAATTTTACATCGTATGCAACACACAATGATTCGCATAAATTTATTCTATTGTTTGTAGTTGATAAGATAAACCATCAAAAAACACCTCTTGCCACAGAACGCAAGGCAGCTATTTTTTTTTTTTTGTAGTTATAGTAACAACCGCATTGTCGGTATCTTCAACCATGTGACATAGGTTGCTTTTATTAAAAAGTTCGCGGAACTCTCACGACGAGTAGCTTAACTTTAAAATCTTCAAAGTGCCTTTTTCACAGCTCTACATATTAATTTTTGAGAATCATAGCTGAATTAATTTATCATAAAGAAGTATGCACTTAAATTCAGTAAACAATAGTAGTTTGAATACTTCACGATTTTAAGAATAAACTGGAAAACTAGAATAAATAATCGGTCGATTTTTCAGAAAACTGTAGATTTGTTAAAGATTTTGCACTACAAATGTATATGTTGATACTATTTTGAGGGGGTTATCGTGGCACAGTCAATTTCAAAATTGAATTTTCGTGTTAGAAATGTCTTTGTTGTGATTATTCTTAACAAAACAGATATAGTATATTACTTACCTAGGCCAGAAAGTGGGGCGTCAGTGCGCGGTCAGATGTAGCCCCACTTTTTGGCCGTGGTACGTATACTTTTTTTTCTTACACCTCCGCCGAAAGTTCGTCACCACGGTTTTAGTTTTGTTAAAAATGAAGGTTTAAAGATCCAGTCAAAGATTTAGTGCATTATGCATTATTGTTGATCGATCGGTCGCTCGAACAATACCACTTAAATGCACGTAGATGAGTGTACATGTGTATAGGTATATCTATATATATACGCTCGCCGAGACTGTAGTATATAATATAGAATCAGATTGGGCCGAGGATTTGTGCAGGTTGGTCGTGCTGGCAAAACGAGAGGAAGAGAAATCCGTTTAAATTCGAATCATGGATCCTATAAAGATCATTTTAAAAATCCTAATGTTTATATCCGTAAGTGCAAAATAAATCAGGTTATTATCAATAACTATTATAATTGTGATAGGCATAATTCGATTAAATAAAAGATTTCATAGTTTATTTTTGTAATATGACATGTATATACTACATTTATATACTAAATAAATCATTAAAGTGAAAGTAACTGATCAAAAAACATTAATTTGGTAGTTTTAATTTTGTGTTGTGTACTCTGTTCATATGAAATTAATAAATTTATATATACATGTAAATTGTGCAAAAAAAAAATATATATATATACATCCAATAATTTATGTAAATAAATATCCAACGATTTTCTGTGTTGTATAAACTATAAAGGTTATAACTCCGTTAGCCGTATATATGTATTGTATAACTACTGCTGCTTCTCGGTGCTGAATATATAACTATATATATCTGCGCACTTCGTTCTGCGCACATATGGCAGGACTGATATGAGGCTTTTTCTAGCTCAAAATCGGGTCAGATGGAACGAACTTTCGGCGGAGGTGTAAGGAAAATAATACTTATACTGGATTAACAAAAGTAGTGCTCCCTTGGACTGAATCCGTAAGATAGTTGGTCAGTACTTCTTTTAGCTGAAACAATTTCTTAAAAATGTGGGATAGCTGTATATGTTGGATTTAGGGAGCTTGAAACAATCAAGTATATATTCGATAGTTTCTTTTTAAATCTCAGTTGCTTCAACAATCGTTAAGTATCAGGCAAAAAATGAATTATTCTTAAAATTTTAAATCAATTTATTTAACAAGAATTAAAACAACAGTTTGTCAGGAAAATCGCAATTGTATACTTTCCATCGAACTATTTTTCTCCATTTATGTGGCAAAGCGAAAAAACAGCTGTAGTTAAGGAGATAATCATAGTATTACGTAATTAGGACGTACGTCCAGTATACATAAAATGGCCTCCTAAAACTGTCATTATAATACCCGATTGGAAACAGTTCAATAATTCACGNATTTAAAAATTAGGTGTATGGAACAGAAAACTGTCCAGAAAAGTAAACACAAACGTTAAAACAACAAATTAACCTAACTTTCGCCTCGGACTGTACCACTATATAGGAATTCTAGTAACGTTGTAACTGGACTTTAAACGGTTATATTTTAAAAACAGTGAAGCTAGGCTTTCCCAATTTTAGTATACTTATTTTAACTACAATAAACCCTAACATAGTAATTTTTTAAAAGATTCTTAAAAAAATTTCAAAAGTTATGAGTAAAAACGTGCTTTTTCCGACAAGTCCATCTAAAAGCATGTGTATAAGTGGCCAACTTCGCGATTTTATTTTTTAAAAATGGTGTATTTAGGCTCTTTGAAATTTTGATATGTTATTTATGATACTAAAACATATCTATAAACATTTTTTCAGAAATTTCTTAAAACAATGAAATATCACAATATCCCCGTAACTTAATCGAAGTTTTTGCTAGCAGAAATAGACCCAGACTCAGTTTTAACTGATATAGAAATTCGTAGTTAAAAAATTTTTTTAGTTCTCACAATTCCTGATTCTAAATAATTTATCACGTTAGCATAATAAAGAGTCTTCTCAGTGTAATAGGCGTAAAAGAGCCTTTTGAAACTGAATATAAGAAAGAGCCTTTAATTTTTATTTCTCCGATTTTAAGTTGGTACTACATTTATGTGTGTATGTATATAATTGATCTATAAAAATATATACATCACTACCTTAAAATAGAAGTAAACAAATTAGTTAAAACGGTATTGATATCTTTTTGTTGAACTTCTCGTTTTGCTCTCCAGTATAGAATGAATGTGTGGATTTGTACAGGGGTACGAGACTAATCGAGAGCTGGGTGAGGAGCAAATAAGAACTCAAAAATGTCGAAGAATAATCTTGAGCGATGATTCGTTGGGCTCAATCATACCAATCAACGTCAACACCTCAGTGCGAGTGTACCTCTGTATAAAAAGGCTTTTTCTTTTAGTTTAAGAGGGCTTTATTCAGCCCGAAAATTTAAAAAGGCTCTTTCTTTACTTTTACTCTAAAAAGACTCTTTCTTGCACTCACGCGATTGTATCATTGTTGAAAGTATTACGATGCTTTTTCTGCATTCAATAAAAATGATTAAAGTTCCTTTATAATCAACAGCCTAAAAATATGTTCATAACAATCATCACGCTTAAAGGTAATTCATTTTTTTTTTTTTTTTTAACAAAATACTGCGGTATTATAAAAAATGTTTAGTCTCAGGATCTTGCCGAATAAATTTTATTACTTATTCATCGAACTGTTTCTTCCATTATTGTTCTTCTGGCTGTCTACAAATGAATAAAAGTAGTACACCTTATGAAAGATTTGCAAACAATTTTAAAATATTTACAAAACTATTTTATATTGTGCTTATCAAATTCATTTACTGATTAAAATTTCAACATTAAGTAAATAGCAGTAAACGGGCGGCTTTTTTTTGTCGTAA